GGATGGCATCCCTCCCCTCCAGCATGTCTACCTTGCCAAACAGCTTGGTATCATTGGCAAACTTGCTGAGGGTGCACTCGACTCCACTGTCCATGCGTGCAACAAAGATGTTGAATAGTACAGGTCCCAGTACCGACCCCTGAGGAATGCCACTCGTCACTGCTCTCCACTTGGACAATGAGCCGTTGACCGCAACTCTTTGAGTGCGACCGTCCAGCCAAAGAAAATGACTGGTTTATCATTGTTTAACATTGAACATGTAGGACACAGGCAAAAATGTGAACCATTGCTTAACTGGGTGTAACAACGCCAAGGTTTTTAGTGAGTTTCGTAAATAATTTTTTCCCATTATACTTGTTAGAGCATTGGTGAGACGTGTTTTGAAATGTACATGCTTGGTTAGAAATGTATTTAATGTTCCTTTCTCAATAAGACATTTCAGTCACTTTGGCAAATTTGGGAGGCTTTTAGGATTGCCATAAGTGTCAATCTCAGCTGACTGTAGAAATATGAGATCCACCTAACCACGTGCCAGGCATAGTAGTAAGAGCTGAACTTTTGAAAACTGCAGTGGCTTTAAAATTTTGAACATGCGTATTTTTCTCCAAAGGCAAAAGCACCACTTTTTATCTCTTTGTATGCATTCATCAATTGCATTTTACGGTTTAAGGAAAGACTGTTTGATTGACATGTTGGTATAATTTGTGATATATGCTAATGAAGAAATTTATAGTTTTATACTAGTTACAGACCATCTGTTGATGCAGTTTGTATTCCCTGGGACTCTGGTTTCTTTAAAACCAACAGCTGTTCTAAGCCTTCACCCTTCGTAGTCCAGCTCTTCAAACTTCTTTTCAGCTTCTACTTTAAAAGTGTTTTGTTGTCCTTCTAAACAGAATAACAGGTCAGTTATTTTTAATTAAGCCCCATAAAATCTGGTGTGTCAGTTTTGGTTTTTTTCCCCTTAAAGATACTGGAAAATAGCTACAGATAAACCAATCCTGGTTTTACCGGAAGAATAAACCTTCTCCATGTGAATGTTAAAACTTGAACTTTGACTTGAAATTCCTTTTAGATTTTTAGGAAGTTCAAACAAAATACCCAGCTCCATTCTGAGTGTGATTGAAGGACAGGTTGTCATAGCAACTAAATTATGTCAATAATCCATTCTAATATAAAAAGAAACATATGAGTTCAAAAAGTGTGGGATGTGGTTATTCATTTACCTAGCTGTAATAGAAGTTGAGAAACTGTCACTTCCTTTCCTGTCTTTCACAGAATCATAAGGGGCCTTGGAAAAACCATCTACTCCAACCTCCTCCTCAAGTCAGGGCAACTTTGAAGTTTGTTAGTGCTTTCGGTATATAGCGTTTTGGTTTGAGTATTAAGAGCACAGCCCTTTACAGAAGGAGTTGTTTTTGAGATTAGCTAGCTAGCTCAACATAGTCCCAGAGTCTGCAATTGATTTGCTGTCACCTCGTTCATTTGAGCACCCCTTGGAAATGTGACTCACTTGGGTCTTATTTCATGTAAGTAAACATGCAGGTGTCAAAGTGTTGTCAGCGCAGAGATGTTAGTCTGCTACTTACCACATTAAGTACTTTATGCTTTGAACATTCATTTCAGAGTAGGTCTGAGCAAAAACTTGCATTAAGAAAAATTCAGTGTGTTTAGTAGAACAAAAGGGAATGTCTAGCTGCTTCTTATCCATATTACACTATGGGATTTGCTTTCATTATAACCCTTTACATGACTCAGCAGTAAAAGGTTATATATAGAGTGAAGGTGGTAGCAAGAGTGTTTAGACCAATCCATTGTACGTGGCTGCATCCCTTAATCTCTGAAGCAAATTTAACAGTTGTAGTTAATGCAGTAGTGAGTTGTAATTTAGACTTCAGTGCATTTCAGCAATCAATATATCGATTAAATGTCACAATGATGAGTATTTTTATTCTTTGGGGAGATCAGAGGGCAGTGAGTTGGGTTCACTGGCATTTTCCTCAGTTTTTCTGGTGAGGTGTAGCCTTACTGGACCATAACTGATGGCAGATTCATTAGGTACAAAGCACCAAGAACTCAACTACGTGGTATTCCACGTTCTTGTTAACACTTGTCCTACCAGATTGTTGGCCATGTTCACACTGAGGGCTGCGGGGGGGGGGGGGAAAGCAAACGTTTGCTTTAGGTGACTTACCTAATCATAACTGAGATACTGCTGCAGGAGGAGCACAGCTTGAGAAGAACGTTAGAGGGTAATATAATTGTGGGTGCCCGATGTTTTTATATTAATTAGTAGCACTAGTTTTTAATATTTTTAGTAAACCATAATCATTTTACTTCCTTAGCAGTTTAGCTGAGCTTTTAATTTAATTTAAAAATGTTTTCTATTCACTTGGTCACACTTGGCTTTCGCTTGGAGAGTGTGGTCAGATGGAGTAGTTCTGCTTGTCTCCTGCTGAGGGTTCCTTCAAGAGGCCTGAATGGGGAAGGAGCTGCCCTACAGCAGTTGGGGTGGGTAGTGCAATATATTAGAAGCTGTCTTCAAACCTGGATCTTACACACTTTTAAATTCAGATTTTCAGGCTGAGGTCATGGGATACAGTCTGCTAGATGTCCTAAAGACTTGGTATCTGCACCTGGGAAAGCCACTGGGCATTTACCCTGGGGCTGGAGTGCCCGGTCTGCTGTGTACCGATTCCTGAGCTGCTACAGTCCCTAACCCAGACTGATGTAAACTGAAGCTGAAGTAATTTTACTTTAGTGCTCCTGTCCCGAAACTTCACAGCGGTTTAGGATTTGTTTCTTGCACACCGGCAGCCTCTGGGTTCATTTGTCATCACAGGTCTGTTGGCGCTGTAATGGAGTTAGCAACCAGCACATGAAAATGAACTCCATCCTCGTGACTGCTGGACTAAACGCCGGGTGAGGCAGTAACATAGCTTTTTTGCACGTTATAATCTCTGGCCACGTATGGACCTTCACTTGCAGTGAAATGAAAGCTTGTCTGCAGCGAGGAGGCCCTGAAGGGTGGAAGTGCAGGGCACGGCTTCGTTTCTGGTGAACCTCTCTGACTTGGCAGCCTGGGTGAAGGCTGGATCCCACAGCCAGACTGGGTGGCTGCTGGGGCTGTCGGAGCCTTACGGGTCCTTGGGAATGTTACCTTCCTTCTCCTGAGGTTATGGGATTTCTGCAGTTTATTTCGGGCTTCAAATAATTCTTTGAAGCAGTGAAATTACCTTTCACTTCGCTGTCACTGTTGGTTGTCCCATGAAGCCAGTTGTGGGTGGTGTTTCCATCCCAGCCTTTCCAGTTTCTGTTTCAGATCCAGGAACTGCCCTACAAAACCAGGAATGGTCTTTTCTGCTGTATGCTCTGTCATAAATGTTCATTGCTGCTCTTTTTGCAGAATTAAGGGAATGGGAGGAGCAGGCCTATTGATAGGGATGTAACAGGGAATGAATTTGTTCATACCCCTTTCTTAATGCCTCCAAGTTTCACCATGGTCCTCTAAAATCTTGTCATCTGTTATTTTGTGGAGTCCACATCTCTAGTTAAGCAGCTGGAAAACTTTGCCACCACAGTGTGTTCGCACACAACACAACTGGAATCAAAATGTCAGACTGGGTGTAATACCTTGCAGTGCTGGTAATTGCACAGAGAAAATAGGCACCAACTGTTCAGTTTTCCATGATGCAACTTCTGTGGAAGATCACATTATGTGCTGGGAGAAGGTCATTCTCAGAATAAAGTAGCAATCCTTTGAATATACAGTCTGATATGCAGTTTCTTCATATGATAAGTTACTTGTCCCCCCATTCCAAATTAAAAATATATAAGCCCTGTGGCTTTCATCTCCAGATTGCATTCCCAGGTCTTTGTTCCAAACTGCTGCAAAACCTGGGAGTCTTCAGTCCAATGCTTTAAAAATTATTTTGATGCACTGCATACTTCAAGTGCTTCTTGTGCTTAGTAGAACAAGATGCATGCAGTGTTTGCAGTTGACAGTTCCTGTTGCTTAGTGCTTTCTGGAGTGATATTTCTATTGCCTGGGAAGGAGTAAAGGAGCTGTGAACCTCTCTTTTCTCCCTTCTCTTGCTAACGTATACTTGTGGGTAAAAGTGAAATTATATGTAAACCACGCTCTTGTTTTGGTGTGTTTTGCAAAGTATTTGCAGATGTTTTGTGTAAAACTTTGCAGATGATTCGCAGCTAGGGGAAGCTTCATGAAGGTGTTGTTTTGTTTTGTTTTGGTTTGGTTTTTTTTGACTTAATGAGATTAAATATAGTGCTAATGTGAAAGTCAGTGCATAGTTTCCATGTCGGACATCAGTACTAATATTTTATTGATTGTAAATTTTAGTATATTAAAAAATTAGTTTCTTTTATTTAGCAGTTACAAGTTGTGCTTGTGAATTAGACTTGAGGCTTGTAAGGTCATCAGAAACACACACCTGGTAGTGGAAGCATGGGGAAGAGAGAGGGAAAAGATGAAAACCAACTTACTTCATCTGAGCCTCTGGAAATGTTTAGCTTGGAAGGAAACATGTATGCTTTTCAACTCAAAATAACTGGGTTGAAATTGGGTAGGATTTTGGTGTTATTATGTAGGCTCCTCCTGTAACCTGTTGAGTGTGTTTTGGGCTGGAATTACTGTTTCAGAAACTTTTATTTCCAAAGACTTCTTGTTTTGAAACACCTCATCCTTTTGAAACACCTCATCCTTTTACACTGTGTCTTGATTAGCTGCATAAGTCCAGACTAGCATACAGATTATGTACAATTCATTTCCTCTGACTTCCCTTTTTTTCCTGCCTACTACTTAGTTATTTGTATGCAAATAAATGTGCAGACAACTCAATTTCAAAGCAGTCTGTTGAAATAGTATGTTTTGCTTTCATAAAGTATATTATTTGAGAAAACAAGTGTTTGAGATGTATTTGTTTTGTAGTTGAATCAGACACCAATTATCACAAACAGCATTGCATCACAAAATTATATATATAAAAATAAATTGAATAAATGATTAAGTAAATTCATTTCACCATGTATGATCAGGGAGGTGATTCCTTTTTCTTGACTGCCTATGTTCACATGAATTTTTTCTTGTTATTTTTGCCTAGGTGGAGAATCATGAATTTCTCGTCAAGGCTTCTTTTGATCCTAATTTGACAGAATTAAGAGAGAAGATGAATGAACTGGAAGAAAAAATGCAGTCCTTTTTAAAGAGTGCAGCCAAAGAACTAGGTAGGGTATGAAACTACCTTTTGATTCTTACCTTCTTTGTAAAATGTTTTGAGATCGGGTGATGAAAACTGGTATAGAGGAGTTAAGGGATGTTTGTATTATTTTATATTTAGTTTGGGGTGACTTTAGTTGTCACAGTACAATCTGTTGAAAACTGAATGTTTTTTAGCTTATAACTTGTTTTTTGGTTTTTGGGTTTTTTTTTTTGGTTAAGGATGGTGTTCCAGAATATTTCAGAAATTATCATGTATGTTGCAAGATACTGCATAATTCATTTTGTAGAACTGTAACTCATCTAACTCTTGGCTAAGCCTAGTTCTATTTTACATTCTTTGAGGATGTGCATTGAAACTTTTTTCCCCTATGCATTCTCCTGAGTGTCCATTCAGTACATGCTAGTTTTCTTTTGAAGTTCTTTGCAAAATATAATGTATAAGTAAATGAGACATTTAAAGGATTGATTATCCTATGCAAAAAAATCCATGTGCAGATGATGAATCAGGCATTCAAAGAACAACATAAAAAAAAAATTAATGCAAATACGGCAAGGAAAACTGGCAACACCATAGTTATTTTAGGTTACGCCTTTTAAGGGCTTACATATTCTTTTAGTCTTGATTTTTAAATTTTTTTTTTAGTGTGAACAAGATACCTGGATGAAAAGAAGAAAAGACAAGATTGTGTAGGAATGGAAAATATGTGTTAGTATGGATTGCAAGACTGCAAGTGCTGTGCTTACAGCTGCAATATAGAATGTCCTTGCAGTGTGCTATGAACATTTTTCACGTTTCTGGAGAATATGTAGTAATACAATAATCGTGAACCTGATTTCAATAGGCAGTTTTAGAGCATATCAAAGTAAGAGCAAAGAATGAATCAGTAAACTTCTGTTAGGTCTGGGTATTTCTCATAACTGTACAGAACCAAAGCAAGTATACTGAATAGGGCATCTAAGAGAGGCTACATCGCACAAACTGGGGATTAATGAGCAGAAATAGCACAGGCTGCAGCGTTTTTGATAATACAGTTGTTTTCTTTTTTCTTTCTTTTAATTTAAAAGGCTTGGAAGCTGGCAAAAGTATCAAATTGGAGACAAATTCACAGTTTGGACATCACTTTCGAATAACTTGCAAGGAGGAAAAGGTTCTTCGTAACAATTCAAAATACGGAATAGTTGATACACAGAAGAATGGTGTGAAATTTACTAACAGGTATGAGATCATCTTGGTAGTTTTTCAAGCCTGTTGTGAAAGAAACAAAATTGTTCCTTTCTTTATAATTATGCT